AGCGGGGGCGCGGGGGCGCGGGGGCGCGGGGGCGCGGGGGGCGCGGGGGCGCGGGGGCGCGGGGGCGCGGGCTCACCTGGCAGTAGTGCAGCGTGAGCGGCCGCAGGTAGGGCGAGGCGGTGCAGCGGCCCACGGACACCCCCTCGATGCGCTCCATGGCGCCGCCGGAACACGCCGGAACCGACGCGCAGCAGCGCCCAGTGCACACCGAAGCCTGCGGGAGGGCGCGTGACCGCGGCTCTGAGCATGCTCAGTGGGCGCGCGGGGCGGGGCGGGGCGGCCGAGGTGGGCGGGGCTCGCAGGTGCCACCTGTCGGGTGCCGCGCGCCTGGGGGCGCTGGTAGCCGCGGTGGCCGGGGAGCGGTGCAGACACGTGGGCGTCGCGCAGAGGAAGGACTGGCCGGATCTACCCCGGCCGCCGGGCGGGGCCAGGCGGCCGGGGTTCTGTGCTTGGGTGGGACTCGGGACCTCTTGGCTGGGAGAGGGAGGGCTTGGAGGTGCGAGGACCCCTGTCAGGGGGGCTGGAGCCAAGGGCCTGCAGCTTTGGGGTGCGATGAGCCGAGCGGATACCTCCGCACTCTGTGTTGGACCGTAAGCCCAAGATTAAGTTACTCCAGGGGTCCACGGCGGGGCAGCCCCCCAGGGAGGGAGGGATTGGGCCCAGGAAGAGAATCCCCAGAGACAGAAGTTGGAGTGTCTAGGAACCCAGGGAGAGCAGGAGTGTAGACACTTCTCAGAGCCAGTCAGAAGAGAGAGGGCCCTGGAAGGAAGCCAGGGGAGAGGAGAGTGGGGAGCAGGAGGGGCCAGAGCATGAGCTGAGGGTGCCTCCCCTCGAGGTTCCCGGTGGCAAGGGTGGCTGGGAGCTGCCCTGCATGGGAGCTGCCACGCTGTCTCTGGAGCTGTCCCTCCACTCAAAAGCCAGCTGCCCTTCCCTCCTTCTGCAAGTCCCACCTTGATGACGGCCCTTCCTGGGTGTGCAAGGGTCCCAGGCAGCTGCAGTTCTTCCTTGGGCATGGATTCCAAGGACTCCCTCCAAATGCCACCATGGCCTCCACAAGGGCAGGAAGCAACGTTGAGGGAGGGGAGCTAAGGCCCACAATAGCCCTGAACCCTGATGGGCACCTGCTCTGTGAACTATGGCAGGGGGGATATGCTCAGAGTGAACTGGCCATGTGGACTCCGGATTGACTCCCAGGTCCCTGTTAACTGTTGCAGTGTCACAAAGCACTCCAAAGCTTAGTGCCTTCAAGTGCCCCTTTGTCATCGCCCAGCCTGTGGATTGCCCAGCTCAGCCAGGCAGCCCTGCTTTGGGGTCTCTCTGCAGTAATCAGGTGGCAGCTGGGGCTGGAGCCATCTGAAGGCCAAACGGGGTGGACCGTCCAGGATGGCCTCTTCACCCCAGCCCTGTGCCTCAGCTGGGTGGCTAGAACAGCCAGGGCCAGCTGGCCTCCCCTGTGGCTGGTGTGAGCTTCCCGAAGCGTGGTGGTCTCAGGGTAATCAGATTCTCCCGTGGCAGCTGGCTCCCTCCAGAGCACATTCACCAGCCCAGGCCAAGCTGCCATGCTTTCTGTGACCTGGCCTCATACAGTGTCATTTCTGCTGCATCCTGTGGGTCAGAAAGTCCTGGGCCACCCGCAGATTGCAGGGGAGGGACATCACCAGGTGGGAACACCTTGAGAGTGGTTCATGGAGCCAGCACACGAGTCCAGCTGTCACCGCCCCAGTAGCTCTACAGGGGCCTGTGCCTCCTGATTTAGCCATTCCGCCTGGTGTCCCAGAAGGCAGAGAGACCACCCACCAGAGCACCCAGCCCTGAAGCTGGCCCACCTCACCCGGCAGCCAGGCAGGCCCCTTTTCCTGTGCAGGAGGGGCCCAGGGCAAGCACACAGCCCCGAGTGTCGCACAGGCCCCTTCCTGCCTGTGGTTGTGTGGAGTCTCAGCTTTCAGCAGCAGCAGCCCTGGGCAGACAGAGGAGCCCTGGGAAAGCCAGCAGCTCCACAGAGCACCGTGCTCCCCAGACTCGCTCAGCCCAGGGGGCCGGCAGTGCAGACTGCAGCGCTGAGGTGCCTGAACATATCCACAAGGTGCCCCGCTGTGGGACGCAGCCTGCTGGCTCCTCAAAAAGTTAAGTGTAGAATTACCCTGTGGTCCAGCAACTGTCTTCCTGGGTGTCCACCCAGAAGAGCTGAAAACAGACACTCAGACAGACACGTGTTCACAGCAGCCAAAGGGAAGAACAGCCCAAGCATCCGTTGCTGGGTGAATGGATCCACAAAATGCGGTGTAGATGTGTGAAGAAACATGATCAGCCATGAGAAGGAGCGAAATTCCCACATACATGCTGCAGCGTGGATGAGCCTCGAAAACGTGGAAAGAAGCCAGACACAAACGCCACGTCTTCCACGACTTTGTGTAGACGAAACGTCCCCGTCGGGTGTGGTGGCTCACGCCTGTAATCCCAGCACTTTGGGAGGCCAATACAGGCAGATCATGTGATCAGAGTTCAAGACTAGCCTGGCCAACATGGTGAAACCCCATCTCTACTAAAAATACAAAAACTAGCCAGCGTGGTGGTGGGTGCCTGTGATGCCAGCTACCCAGGAGGCTCAGGCAGGAGAATCGCTTGAACCTGGGAGGCGGAGGTTGCAGTGAGCTGAGATCTCACCACTGCACTCCAGCCTGGGCAACAGAGCGAGACTCCATCTCAAAAGAAAAAGAGAAATGTCCAGAACGGGTGAATCCATGAGACAGAAAAACAGATGCAGGCTGGTGGGGCTGAGGGAGGGAGGATGAAGAATGTTAACTAATGGGCGCTGGGTTTCCTTTCCTTTTGTGGTGACAAAGGCATTCTGGAACTAGACAGCTCTGGTGGTCACACAACAGTGTGAATGTACTAAATGCCACTGTGTGCACTGTGAAGTGGTTAATGTTCAGTGGATTTCGGTTACATGTTTAAAAATTTTTATTTAGAGACAGCGTCTCATTATGTGGCTCAGGCTGGACTTGAACTCCAGGCTCCAAGCAATTCCCCCAACTTGGCCTGCCGAGTAGCTGGGACCACAGGCTCACACTACCATGCCTGGCTCAGTTCAATTTTTTTTTTTTTTTTTTGAGATGAAGTTTTGCTCTTGTTGCCCAGGCTGGAGTTCAACGGCACAATCTCGGCTCACCCCAACCTCTGCCTCCTGGGTTCAAGCGATTCTCCTGCCTCAGCCTCCTGAGTAACTGGGGTTACAGGCATTCACTACCATTCCCGGATAAGTTTGTATTTTCAGTAGAGACCGGTTTCTCCATGTTGGCCAGGCTGGTCTTGAACTCCCGACCTCAGGTGCTCCACCTGCCCCAGCCTCCCAAAGTGCTGGGATTACAGGTGTGAGCCGCGCTCCTGGCTTAATTGTTTTCTTAAAAAGGAAAAAACCATGTCAATGAGGCTGTTCAGGAACATTCCATGCTGTCTGTGACGCTGAGGACAGGGCAAGTGAGGCCTGCTATCCCTCTGAGATGAAAAGGGACAAGCAGCCCAGCCATTTCACCAGTTCTTGCTGTGCACCGCGGTGGCTCGGAACGGGGGTTCGGGGCAGGCCTGATGTTAGAAGGAGTTAGGACGGGCATGCTAAGAGGCAGAGGACAGCCTCCCCACGGACACACGGACACAGCGCTCCCTAGAAACCCAGAGATCCAAGGCAGGAGAAAGGAAGCTGTCCTGGCAGGTGGAGGCCAAGGCAGGAAGCGGTGCTGGGGGTGGCTCCCTTGGCCTGTGCTTGGCACATCCCCTGGGGACATTGGCAGCCTTGGAGGGATTGGGCAGGGCAGGTGGTAGGATAAGCCTCTGGGAGGTCACCATTGCTGCCTGGGGCCGGGGTGGAAGAGACTGGTCCGAGGGCCTTTGTTGTCCAGAGCGGTGGCTGTGCAGAGGGTGGCCTTGGTCCCCATGGAAGCGGGTGCAGGGGGAGGAGGAGGAGGAGCTTGGGTGTGGGAGGGGCTCCAGGAGGGGGAATGAGAGGACTCAGTGTGGCCAGGTGGCCTGAGCCACAGTGGAGAGCTCTGAAAAGTCACCTCTGACTCTAGCAGTGCGGGTTCTTCAGAGAGCCTGCTGAGCATGGCGTGGGGGCAGAGGCCCTGAAGAAGCCTCCTAGCAGGGCCAGAGCTGCGCAGGGTGAGAGCAGCAGCGCCAGCTCCCCAGGGCTGCCCAGACAAACCACTGCCTACCCCGAAGCTGGGAACAGCACAGCCATGGCCCTCCAAGCCCTGGGGACGGCTCCAAAATGCACCTCACCAGGCGAAGGTCAAGGGTCACAGGGTGGGCTCCTTCTGGGGACTCCGGGGGAGGGTTCGTTCCTCATCTTCTCCAGCTCCTGGAGGTGCCCCGGCCCCTCCTCACATTCAAGGCCAACGGCGGCCCCTCCGTCCTCTCCCTGACTCTGCTGCAGTCCTCATGTCTCCACCCTGACCCTCCTGCGCCCTCTGCTGAGGCCCTTGTAACCACATCTAGGGTCCACCCGGGTCATCCGGGGCCATCTCCCCATCTCGGGGTCCTTCTGTTAGTCAAACCTGCTGAGTCCCCTTTGCTCTAAAATGTCCATACTCGCAGGTTCTGGGAATCCAGGTATGGACTCGGGAGGACGCTTCGGGAGGGGAGCAGCACCAGGGCAGGACCCTGTGGGGTCAGGGCGTGGGGCCTGGGGCCTTGCCCCACAGCAGGTGGGTGGGTTTCTTGCAGGACCTGAGGAGACTGCCGTGGGCTCTGTCCTCCTTCCTCTGTAAGGGAGTGAGACAGGGTCCCCTGCCAGGATGAGATGGGAGGGGAGGGAGCGAAGTGGCCTCTGGTGGCAGGGGCTTGGGTGCAGGCCCTGAGGGGACCTGGGGAGCAAGGCTTCCTGGTGGTGCTGGGTCATGCTGGATACACAGCAGGTGCAGGGGACACTGGGTTCATCCCAGGCTCAGCTCCTTCCCAGTAAGCCCACAGGCAGCAGATGAGTCAGAGAGTTGGGGACGCTGGGCAGGGAGCTACAGGCATGACAGAGCCAGGTGAGAGGCCGGGGGGCCGGGAGAATGTTGGAGAGTCCGAGGTGAGGGCAAGAGTGTCCTGAGAGAGGCTGGGTTGAGGGAAATTGGAGGAGGGTCAGGAGGGGGTGTCAGGAGGTCATGGGGGCACAGAAGTCCACTGTGTGTGGGCAGGAGTTGGGTGCAGGGTGCCCATGAGTGAGCAGAGTGGCTCCAGGGCTGGCAGTGGGGCTGGGATACAGC